CAACAGACATGTCAATTATTTTTTTAATGACCCATCTTTATATTCATCTAATTAACAATAGATATGTAAATTATTTTTCTTAATGACTTAATGACCCCTCTTTATACTTACAAATTAACAATCAATATGTAAATTATTTTTCTTAATTATATTAAAATTATGATTATTATTATAAATATCATCTTTATATTTATCTAAATAACAAAACACATAAATTATTTTTCTTAATGACTTAATGACACATCTTTATATTTATCTAATTAATAGATATGTAAATTATTTTTCTTAATGACCCATCTTTATATTTATTCTCATCTAATTAACAATAGCCACATAAATTATTTTTCTTAATGGCTTAATGACCCATCTTTATACTTACAAATTAACAATCAATATGTAAATTATTGTTCTTAATGACCCAACTTTATATTTATCTAATTAACAATAGACATGTCAATTATTTTTTTAATGACCCATCTTTATATTTATCTAATTAAGAACAGGCACGTGAATTATTTTTCTTAATGGCTTAATGACCCATCTTTATGCTTACAAATTAATAATAGACACATAAATTATTTTTCATAATTATATTAAAATTATGATTATTAATTATATTAAAATTATGATTATTATTATAAATATCATCTTTATATTTATCTAAATAACAAGACACATAAATTATTTTTCTTAATGACACATCGTTATATTTATCTAATTAACATTAGATGTGTCAATTATTTTTCTTAATGACCCATCTTTATATTTATCTAATTAACAACAGACACATAAATTACTTTTCTTAATGACTTAATGACACCTCTTTATACTTAGAAATTAACAATAGACATGTAAATTATTTTTAATAATGATATTAAAATTATGATTATTATTATAAATATTATCTTTATATTTATCTAATTAACAATAGGCACATAAATTATTTTTCTTAATGGCTTAAGGACACATCTTTATACTTACAAATTAACAATAGACATGTAAATTATTTTTCTTAATGACCCATCTTTATATTTATCTAATTAACAATAGACACGTGAATTATTTTTCTTAATGGCTTAATGACCCATCTTTATACTTACAAATTAATAATAGACACATAAATTATTTTTCATAATTATATTAAAATTATTATTATTATTATAAATATCATCTTTATATTTATCTAAATAACAAAACACATGAATTATTTTTCTTAATGACTTAATAATACATCTTTATACTTACAAATTAACAATAGACATGTAAATTATTTTCTTAATGACCCATCTTTATATTTATCTAATTAACAATAGACATGTAAATTATTTTTCATAATTATATTAAAAGTATGATTATTATTATAAATATCATTTTTATATTTATCTAATTAACAACTGACACGTAAATTATTTTTCTTAATGACTTAATGACCCATCTTTATACTTATAAATTAATAATAGACACATAAATTATTTTTCATAATTATATTAAAATTATTATTATTATAAATATCATTTTTATATTTATCTAATTAACAATAGACATGTCAATTATTTTTCTTAAGAAAACTTTAATTTACTCACTCAATTTTAGTTTTTCTATTTAACAATTGTGACTTTTTCACCCAAGGATTTAAGAAATTTCTCTAATTAATTCACACTTTTAGATTTGTCATAACAACCAGTGTCACCCTGTCCCTGTCCCACACTGCAGCAGTGTGTCACCAGTGTCACCAGTGTCACCAGTGTCACCCTGTCCCACACTGCAGCAGTGTGTCACCAGTGTCACCAGTGTCACCCTGTCCCTGTCCCACACTGCAGCAGTGTGTCACCAGTGTCACCAGTGTCACCAGTGTCACCCTGTCCCTGTCCCACACTGCAGCAGTGTGTCACCAGTGTCACCAGTGTCACCCTGTCCCTGTCCCACACTGCAGCAGTGTGTCCCCAGTGTCACCCTGTCCCTGTCCCACACTGCAGCAGTGTGTCACCAGTGTCACCAGTGTCACCAGTGTCACCCTGTCCCACACTGCAGCAGTGTGTCACCAGTGTCACCAGTGTCACCCTGTCCCTGTCCCACACTGCAGCAGTGTGTCACCAGTGTCACCCTGTCCCTGTCCCACACTGCAGCAGTGTGTCACCAGTGTCACCAGTGTCACCCTGCCCTGTCCCTGTCCCCAGAGTGCCAAGGGGGTGATCGAGTGCCTCAAGATCATCACCAGGGCCAAGTCCCAGCGCATCGCCAAGTTCGCCTTCGACTACGCCACCAAGAAGGGCCGGGCCAAGGTGACAGCTGTGCACAAAGCCAACATCATGTGAGTGGCACTGTCCCCTCCCCTGTCACCTCCGTGTCCCCTCCCTGTCACCTGCCCTGTCACCTGCCCTGTCCCCTGCCCTGTCCCCTCCCTGTCACCTGCCCTGTCCTCTCCTTGTCCCCTCCCTGTCCTCTCCG